ATGGAGGAAGAGAAAGGAGAGAGGGAGAGAGAGAAAGGAGATGGTGAGAGGGAAAGAGAGAAAGTAGAGAGAGATGGAGGGAGGGGGAGAAAGTAGAGAGAGAGGTGGAACGAGGAAGAGAGAGACAAGGAGAGAGAGAAAGAAGGGGGAGGAAGGGAGAGAGATGGAGGGAGAGAGAGAAAGTAGAGAGATGGAGAGAAGGAAAGAAAGTAGAGAGAGATGGAGCAAGGGAGAGAGAGAGAGAGAAAGGAGAGAGATGGAGCAAGACAAGGGAGAGAGAAGGAGGGAGAGAGAGAAAGGAGAGAGAGATGGAGAGCGGGAAAGAGAGAAAGTAGAGAGAGGTGGAGCGAGGAATAGAGAAAGGCAAGGAGAGAGAAAGGAGGGGGAGGAAGGGAGAGAGATGGAGGGAGGGAGAGAAAGTAGAGAGAGATGGAGGCAGGGAGAGAAAGTAGAGAGGTGGAGTGAGGGAGAGAGAGAAAGAATGGAGAGTGATGTAGGGTGGGAGGGAAAGAGAGAGTAGAGAGAGATATAGGGATGGAGAGAGACAAGGAAGAGAGAGATGGAGGGAGGGAAATAGAGAAAGTAGAGAGAGATAGAGGGAGGGTGAGAAAGAAGGAAGAGAGAGATGGAGCGAGAGAGGAGAGAAAGGAGAGAGACAAGGAGGGGAGAGAGGGAGAGAGGGGGAGGGAGGGAGGGAGAGAGGGAGGTGGGAGAGAGAGAAAGAGAGAGAGGGAGGTGGGAGAGAGAGAGGGAGAAGGAGAGAAAGTTTCTTTTCTTTTTTTAAATATATTTTATTAGTAGTATTTAAGTTATATATTTATATTGTGTGTGAATAGAGTTGGTTCTGGGTATCATTCCTATTAATCCAATTCACAATAACAATATTAGTAATCTCTATCCCATTCCCCAAATATAAGTAACCCTTATTATATTGTCCAAACGTGTGTGTATGTATGTATGTATATATTTCAAACAACGCCTAACTCTTCCTTCCTTCCTCTATATCTTTCTTCTTCCAATTTCAGCATTTCTCTTTTATATACATGAACAAATGTAACTAAGTTTTATTTCTGTGGATCCGGTTTGAGGCTAACGTTGTCAATCGTCTCTATCACATAGTTGATATAATCCTCATTGTGTTGTACCTCTCCTTTGATCCAATTCACACGAACGTTTTTGATTATCTCTATCACATGGATCAAATAGCCTTGTTACACTGTCAAAATATACATTGGGGGAAAAAAAACACCTGGCATCTGTAAACCTCTATGATTTTAATTCATTCTATGAGCAATTTGCCTTTTTAATATTTCCCCTATCTGATTTTATTTCTGCCCCTCTGGCTTATAATAGGCTAATTTAATATTTTAAGGGCAATTTTTTTTATCCGTCATCTCTTCTCCTCTAAAAATTGCTGTTTCCTTACCTGGCAAATCCTGCTTTTCCTTCAAGCTAGCAAGGGCTGACAATCGTTGTCTGACTGGTACCGTCAAAAGTGATTTCCTGGTGTGCACAGACACACCTCTGGGTTGCAGGCTGCTGACACACACACACGCACACACACACACCTCCCTCCTTGTTGTGTTGGCCACAACAAGGAAACTGGCCCGAGCTTCTCCTTTCTGTGGGGGGTGAATCCCCCTCCTCTTCCCGGATCCTTCATCTGCCCTGCCAGCAGTTTCACATCCATCTTTCTCACGAGTAAAGGGGGAGGGGAACAGGATGCATCTCGGGGTCTTTTCTGCTACTTCTGCAAGAAAATAAAGGAAGAGAAATGTTGGGTTCCTGGTGGTTTTTGTTGTTTTTTGGAGGGGTGGGGGTCTTATTCTCTTTTTTTCCTCCTCTGGCTCCAGGGGCTGTGGGGTGAGGATGGGGGGGGGGTGAGGAAGCGTTTTGCAATCCGGAACCTGTGGCTTGACCATCTGAGAAATAATTTTGCTGGGTGTGCATGGCCAGAGGGTTCTGGACAGCCCAAGGGAGGCTGAACGTGACAATTGCAAAATAGTGGGAGAAAAGAAAGAAAAGAAAAGAAAAGAAAGAAGGAGAGAAAGAAANTCTATCTATCTATCTATCTCTATCTTTCTCTCTATCCATCTATCTATCTATCTATCTATCTATCTATCTATCTATCTATCTATCTATCTATCTATCTATCTATCTATCTAATCTATCATCTATCCAGTCTGTCTGTCGGTCTGTTTATCTGTCTGTCTCCCTCTCCCTCCCTCCGTCCCTCCCTCTCTCTCTCTCTCTCTCTCTCTGTCTCCGTCTTTCTCTCTCTCATCTATCTATCCATTCCAGTCACCTCTGGAACTCTTGCTCGAGGTGAGAAGAAAAAGTAAAACGTTGATTTTGGGATCGGTTTGTCGTTTCTAGAAATGGCCGAGCTGATACCATTATTTAAAAGTAAAAAGTGGAGCTTTTGATGCTATTGTCTTATTCTGTGGCACCAAAAGGCATCAAAGCCGATTCTTTCTCCCGCTCCCCTTTTTCCTATATTTTTCCTTCCCCTTTCCCTCCCCAACATGCCTTTTACTTATAAAATGTATTTTAAAAACGGTATCCATGAATATAAAAAAAAGAATGCTGTTTTTTTTTTAAAGGACGCATTTGGCTTCTCATCCCAGAATTCAGGAAGATTCTCGGATGGGAACCGAAAGGGGAGAGGGGAATGGGGAAACCCAATCTTTTTTTTAAAAAAAAAAGCCCCTTTGGGACAATATGATGGGTCCCTTGATGGACCCCAAGAATCTATGATTCATCACTGACAAACAGAGAGGGGGGGAGGGAGGGAGAGGGAAAGAGAGAGGGAGAGAGGGAGAGGTGGGAAAGAGGGAGAGAGGGAGAGAGAGGGGGAGCGAGAGGGGGAGAGGGAGGGAAAGAGGGAGAGAGCAAGAGGGAGAGCGAGAGGGAGGGAGAGGGAGAGAAGGAGACAGGGAGAGAGAGAGAAAGTTTCTTTTCTTTCCGTGATGAGCCGGGGTCTAGAAGCCGTTAAAGACTGGATGAGAGCAAACAAGCTGATACTCAACCCAGACAAGACCGAGNGACAGAGACAAAAGAGGGGAGGGGAGGTAGGTAGGAAGGAAGGGAGGGATTCTCATTTCTCTTTCTCCTTCCTTCTCCTACCCCATCTCTCCTTCTTTTTATCTTTCTCCTTTCTCCTCTTTTCTCCTCCTTCTCCTTCTTTTTCTCCTCCTTCCTACTCCTTCTCCATGTCCTCCTCTTTCCCCCTCCTCCTTTCTCCTCTTTCTCTCTCCTTTTTTCTCCTCCTTATTTCTTCTTCTCCTTCTTCTCCTCTTCTTCTTCCTCCTCCTTCCTCCTCCTTTCTCCTCCTTCTCCATCCATTTTCCCCTCCTTGTCCATCTCCTCCTCCCCTCCCCCTCTCCTCATTCTTTCTCCTTCTCCATCTCCTCCTCCTCTTCCTCCCCCTCCTCCTTTCTCCTCCTTCTCCCTCCTTCTCTTTCCTTCTTTCTTCTCCTCCTTCTTTCTCCATCTCCTCTTCCTCCCCCCCTCCTCCTCCCTCCTTTTTTCTCCTTCTTTCTCCCTCTCCTCCTTTTTCCCACTCCCCCTTTCTCCTCTTTCTCCCTCCTTTTTTCTCCTCATTTCTTCTTCTCCTTCTCCCCCTCTTCTTCCCCTCCTCCCTTCTCCTCCTTCTCCCTCCTTTTTTTCTCCTCCTTCTCCATGTCCTCCTCCCCTACCCCTTTCTCCTCATTTTACTCCATCTCTTCCTCCCCCTCCTCCTTTCTCCTCCTTCTCCCTCTTTCTTCTTTCTTCTCTTCATTCTTTCTCCTTCTCCATCTCTTCCTCCCCCTCCTTCTTCTTCTCCCTCCTTTTTTCTCCTCCTTCTTTCTCCCTCTCCTCCTCTTCCCCACCCCTCCTCCTTTCTCCTCCTTCTCCTTCGCCCTCCTCCTTGTTTCTCCTCCTCCTTTCCCCCTCTCCTTCTCCCTCTCCTCCTCTTCCTCCCCCTTTCTCCTTTTCTCCTTTCTCTCTCTCCTCCTCCTTTCTCTAACTTTCTCCTTCTCCATCTCCTCCTCCTCGTTTGGGGCAAAGGTTTGTCAAGCAGAGGTGGAAGGTTTGTTAACACCCCCCCCCCCCAAAGGTATGTGTGTGTTGCAGTAGACATTCTCCAATGTAGAGGGGCTGGTCTAGATGACCCCCAGCTCTCTTCCCGACCTTTGCCCTTCCTCTGCCTTAGAGTCTGGTGTCTCCCCCCCCCCAAATGTGGTCCTTTAATGGACGCCCTTCTCTCTCCTTACCTCGGTCTCCTTTGCTCCCATCAACTCCATCCTGGCCGTTGCGCCCTGGGGCCCCTGGCATACCGGGCACCCCTGGGATGAGTGCGGGGCCTTGGCAGCTGGTAGCTCGTGCCATCCATGCTGCGGGCACGCAGACCATCAATACCCCCAGTAGCACCTTGGCGCTGAGCATCCTGGATGGGCACAGAAAGCAGGAGAGGGATCCAGGGTGACTCGGTTTCTCCAGGGGAACACGCCCCCCCTTCCCCCCCCCCGTCCTTGGTAGCTCCCAGACCAAGGACTTCAACTCCCAGAATTCCCAGCAATGGCATGGCCGTCCTGGCTGGGGAATGCTGGGTGTTGAAGGCCACCGGTCTGGATTTGGGATGCGGTCATTCTCAATCTTAGGAACTTTTAAGGGGGAGAGAAAGTGGACGCAACATTGAAATTAGGTTAACGCAGAATAACGAGAGCTGGAAAGGACCTGGGAGGTCTTCTAGTCCAACCCTCTGTTCAAGGAGGAGATCCTATCACCTCTAAGACAAATGGCTGTCCAGTTATNGTTACGCGGCGCTCGGGATTCGAACAGCCGAACTGCCGACCTTTCTGATCGACAAGCTGAGCATCTTAGCCACTGAGCCACCTTGTAAAGGCACCCCCCAAAAAAGCCTTCCTCACCCCCTCCACTTCCTAAACTCCCCCCCCCCCACAACCTTCCCTGAAACCCCAGTTCGAATCCACCCACACACCGCACGAAACTTTTCTCAATGATGGTTTATTGATGTGTTTGCAAATCTCGCCAAGATCTCGACGGTGAGTGGGATTTCCCACCCAACCCCTCTTGAAAAACAATAATTTGAGGGGTGGGCGAAAGCAAAGAGGGGGAAGGAGACAGGGAGGATTGCGACTCGTAGGATCCCCGCCGTTATACTTTCGGGGAGGAGGGACGCGCCGGAGACGGAGGTAACGGCGTTCAGAGGTTCGATTCGGGGAAGAGCAGGAAGCCGGAGAAAATGCTGTCGGAGCCTTCGATGCCCCCCAGCAGGGAATTCTTCTCCGTGGGCTCCAGCCACACCATCTCGCCCTGGGCCACGCGGAGAACCACCCCACCGGTGGTCACCTGGAAGGTGTTCAGAACGTAGTCGCAGAAGGTGACGACATTTTCCCCGCTGGCGCTTCCCCGGCCTTTCTTCAAGTGAAGACAGAGGTTGCCGCGCGAGGTGGCGTGGTAGGTGAAGTAGTAGATCCCCGGGATCTGGCAGGTGAACTGCCCGTAGCGGTTGTTGTAGTGGTTCCCCACATTGGTGATGACCCGGTCGAAGCGGACCGGCTGAGCCCGGCGCGGGGTAAACGTGGCACCCCGCGTAGCCGAGAAAGCGGAGCGGTGGGAGGCTTTGGCGTCCCCGGACTCCCCTTTCGGGCCCCGCTCACCGGGAGGCCCTGGAGGACCTTTGGCACCGGCGGGTCCCCGGGGACCAAATTTCCCCGGGAAACCGGGCAGGCCCGGTTCACCCGGTTCGCCGGCGTCTCGGTAATCTTCGACTCTGCCAGGCGGACCTAAGAAAAGAATGGGGGGGAAAAACGGACAACGTTGTGGCGGAGAAGACAACAGAGAGGGAGCTCCGCGGTGGCACCTACGGGGCCTAGCTGGCGAGATTGTGGGTGTGGGTGTGGGTGCCAACGAGCGGGTGGGGAAGAGGGACTGTAATGGGTTGAGTGTGAGAATCACGGGTGCAAGGTTGTGTGGCTGTGAGCTTGGAAGAGTGTTGGCATTCGTAAGGGTGGAAGGAAGGAAGGAAGGAAGGAAGGAAGGAAGGANAAGAAAAAGAGAAAGAGCAAGGGAGAAAGAGAGAGAAGAGGAAGAGCAAAGAAGAGAAAGAGGGTTGCCCCCCATCCCATGGGGGGGGCCCTGCTGAGAACACAGATAATCTTACGACCACAACCGAGGCCAAAATTTCAGTCACTAAGCGAAACATCCATCCAGTGCATTCTGCCCCATTCAACCACCTTCTCTGCCACCCTTAGGCGAATCACCGCCGTTTTTAAGTGAGTCACGTGGTCGTTAAGCGAACCTGGCTTCCCCATGGACATTGCGGGTCAGAAGGTCACAAAATGATTCGGAGACGCCGATGCCGTCATAAGCACGAGTCAGTTGCCCAGCCTCCGAAATTTGATCACGGAAGCCACAGTCGTTAAGTGTGGAAAACGGTCGTAAATCCTTTTTCTCGGTGTAACTTCGGTCACTGAGCGAATTGTTGCAAGGCGAGGACTGAGTGGATGATGGGGAGGGGGGAAAGCCTTGGGCTCTTTGTTTTGGGGAAGGGGTTTGCCGTGGGTCGATGGCCCCCCTCCTTTTGGGGGGGCAATTGAGGAGGGGGGCAAAGGGAGGAAAAAGATGGCAAGTGGTTGGGGTCTCCCAGCGAAGGGAAAAGGGGGTTCGGTCCCCCTTCTGCCGCAGGAAAGGAGCCGGAGCCTCGGCGCGCTGCGTCTGAAAATCGTTGGGCTGGGAGGGACACCTCGAGGTCCTCTAGCCCAACCCCCTTTTTCTCCCTCTTGGCGCCGTTCCATGCGCGCGTGGAGGAGGAGGGGGGTCCCCTGGTGGCCAAAGGAGAAAATGGAGGGGGGGGAGTGGAGGCAGCATGGCATGCTGGGAAGAAAGGGGAGGGGGGCCAAGGGGGGGTGACCGGGTCTCCGGCCGTCCCCATGGAAACCTCCAGCCCGGCCGACTCGCCCCCCCCCTCCGCCCCGGGCTCCGCAACCCGTTTCTGGGTCACGGGAGACTCGCGCGGAGCCCCCGGCAGGGAGGGGAGGGGAGGGGAGCGCTGGCAGAGGAGAAGCCCCCCCCCCCTCCGCGTCTTCCTTCCTCTCTTTTCCTTCCCTCCATTTCTCCCTCTTTCCTTCCTTCCCTCCACTCTATCCTTCCTCCCTCCCTCCCTCCTACCTACCTACCTCTTATCCTTCTTCCCTCCATCCTTCCTTCCTCCTCCTCCTCTCCTTTTCTTTCCTTCCCCTTCCTTCGCTTCCTCCCTCCCATCCTTCTTCTCTCCCTCCTTCCTTCTCTTTTCTCTCCCTCACTCCCTTCTTCCCCTCCTTCCTTCTCTTCCTCACTCCCTCCTTCCTTCTTGTCTTCCCTTTTCCTTCCCCCCTCTCTCCCTCCTTTTTCTCCCTCCCTCCTTCCTTCTCTTTTCTCTCGCTCCCTCCTTCCTTCCCTTTTCCTTCCTTCTCTCTCTACCTCCTTCTCTCTTCTCTCCTCCCTCCCTCCCATACTCACTCTCTCTCCTTCCCTTTCCCTTCTTTCTCTCCCTCCCTTCTTCCTTCTCTTTTCTCTCGCTCCCTCCTTCCTTCCCTTTTCCTTCCTTCTCTCTCTACCTCCTCTCTTCTCTCCTCCCTCCCTCCCATACTCACTCTCTCTCCTTCCCTTTCCCTTCTTTCTCTCCCTCCCTTCTTCCTTCTCTTTTCTCTCGCTCC